TCCCCACTGGAGTCACAAGGAGCAAAGGCCTAGAACCACCTATGGATGTTCCCGCTGCCTTGGGGGCTCCTGAGTTGCAGACTTTGGCTCTGGGGGTGGTGGTTTGTATTGTGTCTATGCTACAAAACAGGCGGGGCAGGGAGTCCTGTCTCTGCTCCTGATTGAAAAACCCACCAGAAGAGCAGGTGGCTTCAGTGGCAGGATTTCCCAGCAGCCTTTCGGGGTTTCCTTAGCACCTGCTCTAGAGCTGTGTCGTGGTTTTCGCTTGGCTCCTGAGCCTGAAGTGGGCTATGTGCACAGCTGCAGCCTTGGGCCATACTTGGCTTCCTTGCTTCTGTGAGTTGCCTCCTCTTTGCTGTCCAAGAATTTGGCTCTCACCCACCATGTCATTAGGCTCCCATAATTTTTTTTAAGTGCAGAATCATGCTTAGGTCTTTCTGAGTTTCAGATTTATATCTAAAAGTGTGGTAGTAAACAGCCCATAGTGTCCAATGACTTGGCCACCTTCCAGCTATATCCCTAGTTCTTGGCCACAAATGGCAGAGGAGACTTCATTTTATCTATTGTTCTCAGGACTGTCACTAGGCCCAGGAGGTCTTGGAATGTGAGGACTTTTCTTTAGTCCTTGGCTGCCAAGCATACTTTGGGCTTCCTGGGCAGGGGATATTAAAATGACCTGGGGCCTAAGACTCAAGGAAAGAGTATTGATACGGATAGGCAAGCGGTAGTCATAGATTGGGCTTAACAAACCTCTGGAAGGGTGTGGCCTATTTAATCATGATTTAGTTTCTTATTTAAATACATAGCTAAAATACTAGTACTCATTTTCAGTTAGAACAAAGGGATCTAGAAGTCTAGTACCTTAAATTTGCAAATGCAGAAACAAGAGCCCAGAAAGCTTTAGTGAGTTGGCCAAGGGTAGCAAGCTAGGAAGTGGCAGAATCCAAGCTAGAACCCAGGTTTCCTGATATATTTATGCTGAAGCAAAGCAGATTTCAGGAAGAACTATGTTGTCAGGGTCATTGGCTTCAGCTGGGAATAAGGGAAACTATGAACATGGTTTGCTGTTTGCAGAGGTAGCCCCCAGTGTGCTGAGTGTCATCTGTGGCCTTATGGCTCACACTGGGCTTTAAACATTTTAATATTGGTGATCAAAATATGCAAGTGGGATCTTTGTTTTCAGTGACTAATGTTTTTTTGAAAGTCAGCTGTGCTGTGAAGAATTCCTTCCTGACCTGGGTGGCAGTGCTGATCCCATTCTTCTGCCCTCATTCCATTCGGAGCTTGTTCCACGTGTGACTCATTTTGTAACTGGCCTAAAGCTGCCTGTGTTTATTCAACTTCCTGTGAGCTGGGTGCAGGCATGGTACAGGCCCAGTGCTGTTGAGAGTAGAGTTGAGCGCTCTTCCCTGCGGGCGCCAGGGCGCCACACTCAGGTGGAGGGAGGCGCCTGAGGCCAGAAGTGTGGGCTTCAGAGTGCTGGGGGCTCCCCTGACCCTGGTTCCGGTTGTCTGAGTGGGCCGAGGCACCTTCATGCTTTGAGTCTCAGTTTCTTCTCCTTCACGTCGTGGTTAGTAAGGATTTTACTGGGCTGCTTTGGATAAGAGGAGCTGCCAAAGGTAAAGCACTTATGGTAGTCCTGGGGCATTGCAGACATCAGCCATTATTGTTGCTCTTGCTTTTGGCAGTTGATGGATGCCTCACTTTCCTTTTGAACATAGCCCTGTTGAAGCAGTTCATGACAATGTGTTTGGACTCTGAATTTCTAGAAGAGGAAGACAGGTGGAAAAACCTTCAGGCACGTCAGGCTAGAAGTGCAGGTTGCATGCTTGAGGGCTTCAGGGAGGGGATCTAAAGGAAGATGGTGCACCAACCAGTGGAGCCTGATGGACAGTATCTGCCTGGGGTCCTTGTAGGCAAGAACACAGCTCTGTGGGGAGGCCAGGCCTGCGGGCAGGTGGGCCAGGGGCTTGTGACAGCGAGGGTTGGTGCCTCAGATTTGCAGGATGCTGTGCTGTGGCGGGTGGACGGAGCCAGCCAGCAGAAGTGCTAGTGCCTGCCTGTCAGTGCCCTGCGCTGTAGTGCCTGTAAGAGATGTGGCAAAATGGTACATTTAAGTGCATTCTTTCTTTCAGTGTTAATGGATTTCCGATAAGTAGTAAATGTGTCAAACACTGAAAGAAAAAATTCCCTAACAACATGAAAGCTATTTCTGATTTTGTATATTACCTTTTATTTCGTGTTCACATGTGGTAGTTGCATAATTGCCAGCCATTTTATATCTGCTTTTAAAATTGAGCACTCTTACAACATTTTTGGTAATTATAATCATAATAGTTAAAGTCACATAATATTTCATAGTATATATTTCTGGCTTATTTGTGGTGGCAGAGTTGAAGAAATCAAATTATTGTTTCAATTTCAACATTTGTGTAGTTCTTATGTATATATTGTAGTAAACCTCCTAAAAGAATTATCCATATTACAACATGTACCAATTTTACAATCGTCTTCCCAGTTAAGTTGGTTAATAAAATAAACATCCATCGGTATCAGAGTTGCCATGTTTTAATTCTTTGTGTGCTGGGAGGAGCCCAGGGCTGAGGGCATGCTGGGCAGCCTCTGCCCCTCAGCTGTCTGGCCCCTTGGGTTCTGTCTTGCAGTTTTCCTGTCATTCGCTACAGTGAGGAGCGGGCGTTCCTCCTGCGTCGGCCATGTATGGATCCCTGGCTTCTGTCTGTGGGTGTGACTTACGCTCGTGCTGCTTATGTGCACATGCATCCGCGCCATACCACTACCCCATCCCTGACACCCGCACACGTGTGTGACTGCCACCTGGCCGTCCCTAGTCCCAGCTGCCCTGCCATGGGAGCCACTGGCCTTCCCTTGAACATCATGGAAGGGCTCGCATGTCTGCTGTATCTGCTGCTTCTGTCACCATTTCCTCTCCGTCACCTAGGTGCCCTGTTCTATGAAAGTGCCAGTCCTCTTGTTGGTGGACATCTGGGTGTCACACATTGTTGCTATCATGAGTCAATCTGCTGCGGACATTCTTGCCCTTTATTGGCATTTGTCGGGCATGTGCCCAGTGTCAGTGAATTGCTGGGTCCTAGGACGTGTATGTGCTTGGCCTCAGTAAGCACTGCCACATGTTCGTAGTAATAGCACTTGACTGCTTGGTAAGGGATGGCTGTCAACACCTAGCAGTCCACAGAGAAGAAAGGTACTTCCAGAGGAAACTGCAGTGGCTGCTGCCCCAGTTCTTGGATGTGCAGTTGTAATGTAGACACAGTTTCTGCCAGGAATGTCTCCAACCTGCTGGGAAGTCTTGCTGGGTCTGAGGGCAGGAGGCATGGTCTGCTGGTGACTTTAAAGATAACAGTGGTGATGGCTCATCCCCGGCAGAGAGAAGGGGAAGGCACCTGTGTGTACCGGGCTCCTACTGGGCACCGCTGCGTTCTCAGTAAACCTGAGCAGCTACTGCGACCTTGCCATCGTGATGTGGAGAATGGCATCCTGTGGCTCTACTCTGGGTGCCCAGTGCTGGCTTGTCCACTGTGCACATGGGGAATGGCACCATGTGGCTCTGAAGGCTGCTGCTGAATTTGAGCTCTGTCTACACTGACGGTGCAGAGTGCTCTTGCAGGAAGCCGGATTGTTCTCATGTTGGTGTGCTGCGTAGAGGAAGCAATCCACAGTGACACTGAGTCTGAACAGCGTGGACATGCTCTTGGGCATCATGGAAACTCTGTTTTGATTGCTAAAGTAATGCATATTAATCACGCAAAAATAATAAAGGTATCGATAAAGCACAAACAGGTGAAGGAAGACACCTGTGATCCCGCCATCCTGAGACAACCAGTTCCTCTGGTTGTAAACAAAAAATGGTTGTAGTTCTGTTCCTTTCTGTGTTCCCTTCTCCTTAAACGTGTCATGGACTTTTTTCCTTAGCCCTGAAATGCTCTGGAACATACTGAATGGCTCCCTGTAGTGTGTTGCAGTCCTGCCCGACATGTTATTGGACAGTCCCTGCTGTTGGACACTTGGGTGACTCTGTCCTGTCCATGGCAATAATCAGTGCCATGGTGCACATTCTTGGATATAAATCTTTGTGAAGATCCATGATTATTTTCCTAGTATAAGTTTATATTAAAAAGAATTATTTCCTTGTTGACTTAATATTGATAAGAGATTGAATATAAAAATCATTTCAGTTCCTCTAAAATTCATTCAGAAAAGTATGAGCATATTTAACCTTTTTGTTTAGTGACCTAAATTTAGCACTTTGTAATTAATATTTATATTGTCATAAATGCTGACAGCTATTGGTCTCGATTTTAGGAAGAAGCTAAAACTGTGCTAAAATACAATCTTTCCCACACTTTCCCACTCAAATCACTTCTGAGGTGGATCAAGTTCTGCTCACCAGAGCGGCCAAGCATGGTCCACCCGACTCCACTGTGCAGCAGGACCCAAGGTCACTCTCAGATCTCAAGGGGCAGCAGCCCCCGCCAGCTCCTTCTCTTCCCTGCAGGCACACAGCGGTCTGAGAGGCTTTTGCTGCCTTGAACAGCAAGGACAGCTGCCAGCCGCAGCCTAATCTCAGAGCCCTGGGGTTGTGTGAAGGCTGGAGAGGACCAGAGGGTAGTTCTGTAGCTTGGAATTGTGAAAATACTCTATGGGGACTTATTACCTTGTCATTAAAGAGGAGTGCAGAAAGAATTAAATTACAGACATGTGTTGTTAGTATAATGTGAATTAAAGGTGTGTTGGTGAAGTGATTTGGTGACTTTTTGGTAATCATGTTTAATTAAAATGCTGAGGAAAGTGTTTGAGATCCTGATGTGTCCTTTTCTTGTATTTGTAGATCCACATCATAGATTTTGATGATGAGAATAACATTATAAATAAAAATGTCCTCCTGCATCAAGCGGGTGAAATCTGGCACATTAGTGCCAGCCCTGCAGATAAAGGTGTGCTGGCAACCTGCTACAGTAAAAGTAAGTATGGCTTTTGCTAGACACTTGTGCATACCAGCTGGATGTATCCCCTAACATTGATTTTTATATTGCTAATGGATTGGTGTGTGGTTTACAAGCCTTGACCGCCAATAACCAGAGCAGCTGTGATAGTGCGGGTAGGTGTTTGTGGAAGTTATAACTCTGAGATCCTCAGGGTCCAAACTGGGGTCACAGTGTTCAGGAGCATTGTACCCCCACATCAGGAGAGCACCGTGCCGGAGGCTCCTGAGGGGGACACAGGTGTCCTGACACAGCCATACCACTCCAGAGGACAGCAGGAATTTGCCCCCTTTCCACCGCTCTACGTGCATGGTGATGAGCAGAGCCCAGGACTGCCTTCCAGGCCTTTTTGATAGCAGCTGTGCCAGCCAGCACAGGTGAGTCCTGTGTCCTTGCACCCAAGCAGACTGCCTCCATCAGCCTCCGGCTCTCCAGGCTCTAGGACTCACATGTTCATCTTTGTCAAATGTCTGAGACTGAATGGGCCCTACATCTTCCTTAATTCTCGTTCTGTTGCAGTCAGTGACTACTTTCTAAATTCTGGCTTCCTATTAGCCCTTTTTCTGCTTTGTAAGCCCTGTAGACTGCTTTCAAGCTGAGACCCGTCTGTCCTGGCTCAATTTGTGCATGCAGGGAGTGTTGGGCAGATGCAGATTGTCACAGCTGATTCTCCAGGGCTCACTACTGCCCTGGATCCTTCTGAGCCACTGCCTATTCATAGGTGGGGAGAGTCGTTCCTGAGCCTGGCTGTGGGAGGTTGTGTGCACAACCAACTCTTGGAACTTTCCCTTTGTGGATAAAAGTCAAACAGCTTTATGTTTTCTTCTCGGTAATTTCATAAGAAAGATGCACTGCTGTGAAGCAAAGGGAGGGATGTTTCCAGGGTGGATAGTGTCCCGACAGTGCTGCGCAGACTGACTGGCACGTGGTAGCAACTGCTGGTGGGACACAGGGGTGATGGTGCCAAGTGATGGGAGGGGGCCCTGCACATGCCAGTGAAAGGGGAGCCTTGGGTCTTCATTTCATCTGTGTCCGAAAGAGCGTATTGCTACGAGGCATTGAGGCGGGAGAGCTTCACCCGCGCGGCCTCTGCCTTTGCAGCTGCCAGGACTTGAACTTGCCCCCTCCTCAGTTTATCTCTAGTTCAAAATGTGCTTTCAGTGGATCTTAACCCTCCTTATGGGTCTTGCTCCCCATGTCCAGGTTCTTTTCTCACACAATGCTCTCTTACAGTTCATGGAAAGAGGCCTACGCTTCAGATGAACTTTTTAAAAAGCATTTACTTTGCTGCTTCAATTTTTTTAAAAAATATTTTTCCAAATTGGAGTGAGTGGATATGTGTGTTTGTGTGTGTGTGGTGTGCTTATACTATCATGGGTGTTACAGTTTAGATGTAAGGTGTCCCCCAAAAGTTCACATGTGAGGGACAGTGCAAGATTTGGAGGAGAAATGTTGGGTCACAGCCTTAACTGGGCCAGTGAATCAAACCCTGATGGGGTTAGCTGGGTGGCGACTGGAGGCCTGTGGGATGTGGCTAGAGGAAGTGACTCACTGGAGAGTGGTTACGGGGTATATAGTTGTGTCTGGCAAGTGGAGATTTGTCTCTGCTTACTGGTCTCCATGCCATCCTTTTATGGACTCAGACCTCTGACATCTGAGCTCTCAGATGACCTTTGCGGCCTCTATAATTGTGCTGGTCAGGTCCTTTTAGTCGCAGCAGGGAAAAACCTGACTAAAACAGTGGGTGACAAGTGCCTGCCTCTGCTCACACTGTCCTGTCGGTGTGCATGTGCCTGCCTGCCTGCCTGCCTGTGGGCTGTGATCTCTTGCTTATACTGTCCTTGCTGACACCCACGTGGGGGTGGCCTCATGGTCAGCAGAGGGCACCAGCAGCTTGGCTCTGTATCCTCCTCTCCTCTGACCCTCCACAGGGTCCCTTCCTGTGTGTCAGTGTCCCCGTCCTGCCTGGTGCTCAGTCACCACAGGCCATTCCTACAGCTTTCCCCCCTCCTTCTCTTGGTGTTTCTGTATTCTCACAGATGTTAAGGCGGATGCTTACAGGACAGCATTTTGCAGAGCTGGACTGACTCTTTGTGTTTGGCTGTGGCGATGCATCTTAGGGTGTCCACTGGAGACTTCTGTGGGCTTTCATAGAGAAATTACTGCCCAAGCCAGAACACAGGAATTCACCGAGGGGACATTGGAGCCAGGGGAACTGAAGCACCTGAGAGGTTAGCGCCTCATCAGCAATGTGGGGATCTGACTGGCACCCAGGGTGATTGGAGCCTGGTGGGTAGTCCTGGAGACTAGGACCCAGGGCGGTTGTAGCCTGGTGGGCCATTCTGGAGGCAGCAGCACCCAGGATGGGTGGAGCCAGGTGGGCCATCCTGGGGATTGACAGGCACCCGATTTGATCATCAGTGGTGCCATGTGTGATCTTCAGGCATTAACCTCAGTGCCCCCGGGTGGAAGTGGTCCTTACAGAGGCCATGTTTAGACTTAGAGGTCTGAGTCCAAGGAATCGAAGCCAACACATGAACCCTGCATGGCTTCCTTCATCAGTTTGAGCCTCTGGCTCCCGCACATCTGACTTCTCGCTGCTTTCCCTCCTGTTCAAATGTTGCAAGCTCTTCTTTACCCTTAGAATCATAGGAGGTATTTCTATGTAGCTCAGTGGCAGAGTACTTGCCTATCATGCCTGAGGCCCTGGGTTCATTTCCCACTGCAGGAGGACAAAAAAGGAAAAAGAGATACAGGCGCTTTATGTGTAGAATGTAAAAAAGGAGTCGAATATATGGAGATGGAGAATAGACAGCGGTGATAATGGGGGTGGCGAGTTGAAGTCAGAGGATAATCAGTGGCAAATGTCTAGAGATCTGCTGTTGGATGGGAGGATTTGGTAATACTGTATCATTCAGGATTTTTGCTCAATGAGTAGATAACATTTGTGCCTGCAACACATTAAATAATGGGAACTACATGAAATGATGTTAATTTGTTTCACTGTAGCAACCATTGACATCCCGGAGCACATATATATGTATGTCTTAAGTAAGGGTGATAAAACTCATATGAGTAAAAAAAGGTGGTGCAGCCATCATCTCCTCCTGAATGCCCGCCCCTCTCTGCTAGCCACAGATGGGGGCTCGCCTTGTTGCTGTCTTATTGCTACTGTGTGGTACTTTCTGCCAGTGTGTGTATCTTCATGTGTAATGTCCAAGGTCCTCTGTCTCTTCCTATCCACGGATACCTCCAGGGGGCTGGACTAGTGTCATCTCTCCTTGTGCCTCAGGGCCTTGGTCATGGAGGTCCTATGGTTTAGGCCTCTCCTTTGGAAGTCTCCTTCAGCCAGGGCAGTGCCCTCTGTCTCCACATCGCAGCCCACCTTGGATGATACTTCACATGCTGCAAAAGAGCTACTCGGAAATAGTTACAGATCAAATTGCTACTTTAAACAATGTTGCAATAATTATCTTGTGAGATTTAAGAAAATACAGAGAGTCATTCTTGGGAACAAGGATGTTGAGGCACACTGTGTGAACCGGGAGGAAGAAAGGAGAGAAAATGAGGCTGCACAGCTGGGTTCATCTCTGTCTGAGCCCCAAGGGAAGAGGACATCCTGAAATGAGGTGACACAGGTGTCCTGAAACACTCCAAACTTTTCTTTATCTGGCTTTCCCCGTTACATGCCAGATGCATTTAATGATTTCCACATCTCAAGGTATTTTGCCAAAATGAGCTGAAAAACTTAACAAGAGAAACCAAATATACAACAGTCTGGTTATTTCCCCAAACTTCTGTCATTTCCTCAACTAGTCCCTGGGGCCTGAGGAAGGGAGTCCAGGAAGTGGCTGGGGGAGTGGGGGGCAGTTGGAAAACCTGGATTCTGCTGTTCCCTCTGCTCTTTACTGACTCTGTACCTGGGCCAGATGAGTAGCTTGGTTTCCATCTGCAGAGTTGGTACAAACACCCTTACTAATAAGGAAGTAATGAGGACCATGCAGGCTATTTTGAACAGACTTGGTCCTTGTGTTGGTGCACTGTGGAGGGACAGGCGCTGAGCATCAGTCCTGATGAGGTGTAGGGTGTCTCAAGGATACTGCATACCCGTTGAACGCATCTGTATTCAGGAGAGGTTAGAAGTGAGCAGCCAGGCCCCCGAGCCAGGGAGCACCGTAGGAGCCGCAGTGTGTGGGCTCAGAGCTCAGAAGAAGCATTGCCAGCTCCAGGTCACCCGTGTTCACCTCTGTCTATGCTGCTCCTGCGAAGGTGGGAGGAGCTCCTGAGCTGGGGCACAGAGTGCTCAGGGCACTGATAGTGCCACCAGCCAGTGAGGAGGTGGGCTGCAACCACAGGCTAAACGTGGAGTATCTTGCTATGGTGTCATTTTTGTTTGATTTTAAGTAATGAAAGCATTACTCAAAGCCCAAAATGCATGTAGGTATGTTACCAAGAAGAGCCCAGAGTCCACAGGAATCTTGTGAGTAAAACACAAATCTCACCGAGGATCCCTTCACATCCTGCGCTCAGATCCTGCTGTGTGGACTCTTACAGCTCATGGGGAGGAGGCACTTTCTCTTTCCTTTCCCCTGGTTGGCTGCAGCAGAATGGGACAATAGGTCGTTCTCCGGGAGCTTCAAGCGCTAGCAGCAAGGTTTGTGATGAAAAGGCCTTTACCTTCCTTGTTTCCCTGCAAAGGCGGAGGACCAGTGCTGACTGTGCACTCCACCCTCCCTCTTGGTCAGCCTCTCCAAATCGGGGACAGTGGGTGAACCAGGGTGATGGCCGGGCTGTTCTCGGCAGCCTGACCCTTGCAGTAGCCTGACATAGCAGCCTCTGTCAGTTTTCTCTGCTGGCACGGTTGGTTCATGTTTCCTTGGGAAGCAGAGGAGGGCTGTTGGGATGTGTTGAGGGAGTACTGCTTATGGTGGCAGAGGAGACCCCGGATGGGCCATTTGCATCTGGAGTGGAGACTGGGA